AATTATTGAAGCATCGTTATTTTTGGAGCAGAGTAGGAAATGGGCCATCTTGAAGAACCTATCAATGAGTACAAACGTGTTATCATATCCTCGATTTGTACATGGAAATCTTAATATAAAATCCATTTAGTCCTTTGGGAGGCCTATAAGCGACGAACAAAACAATATGTTAGCTGAAACTTTTATTTAGTGGATTTAGCTTATTTATAGATTAAATATTAGTCCACCAATTTTTGAACATTACACTTATGTGATGGACAAAATTTTCTAACTTTCATTAAACATATTATTTTATTCTTTTCCCAAATAACCATAATTATTCTAGAATATAATTTAAAAATTTTAGATTCTCTATGGGAGGATCTAGGAATTTATAGCTATATTCTTTGATATAGATATCCATTAATTATTGAGAATGTCCCTTAGAAGGTTAAATGGTTTCTAAGTTATCGACATAGATCAGATGTACTTATCTTGTATTCATTCAAATCTTGGGATTTTAAATTAAAAAAACAAAAATTATCAATGTGTATGATCTCGGGATATTGATTTGGGTGTCATGAGATAATTTTTTTTAAATATGAAAAGGGATAAGAGAGAAATGATACATCAGACTTACATTTCAACATATCTATAAGCCTAAGCTCTTAAGATGACAAATTATTTGAATTTTTATAAATAAACAAACAATTTTATCATAAACATAAAATATTAAAAAATAATAAATAAGGTTAAAAAATTGTTATGTGTGTTAAGATAATGTTTTAGTTTTTTTTTACGCCCATAGTAAGGTTTTTACTCAAGACAATGTTTATGGATAAGTTTACACAAGAATATTGACCAGACTTTATGGTAGAGCTCGCTACTTGGATTTTATGCTTACACTATTAACTTGCAAGACATATACTATATATTCAAGCTATTAATATGAAATATATCTATCATAAAAAGAATCTTGACAAAATGACTCACAAGCCTTTGGACAAAAGTCCAAAATAAGTAAAAGTTCCCTTTATTAGAAAATAGTTCTCACTAGATTTGCTCCTTCTCAGACTTTGTCTAATACCAAATAAAATGGTGGTAGTTAGCTGTCTTTTAATATTAAAAGCTACAAAAAAAAACTATAGATATTTAATTTAATGTTTAAAAACTTATTCTAGAGTTTATGGTAGAATGTTGAGTGCTTTAAAGAGTTGTACTAGTAGAAAGGCAAAAACTAGTTCAATTTGGGTTGCTTCATAAAATCATGTTAGGAAGTTGGTTAATGATAGGGAAAATAATTTAAAATGATGGTATTTGGTTAGATTATGATGCTTAACCATAATTATTATGATTCATCAGTTTATACTATGAACTTGTTCTCCATATTATAACTATGTAACTTACAATCGTTATGTACATATTTCTATAGCTTCCATATCTTAACTAATGAATTTTTAAACTTATTGAAGCAGGCACATGTTAGATCATAATTATGCAAGTTGATTTTAAAAGTTTGCGATTTTCAAATATTTTGATATTGACATTTAAATTAAAATGAAAATGATAAATTGTACTTACATTCCAAGATTCATTTTATATTAAGCAATTTATGTTGCCATGTTATTGGGATAAGAGTGGCTTACCAATAGAAGGGGCTAAGTAGATCATGTACATTTTACTTTTTTTAATATTTATAGTGCCTCCTGCTCACATGCCACAACTTAATTGTAATGGTAGACTCATATTTTGTCATTGGGAAATGAGAGTAACAAGAAATTATTTCTTAAATGTTTCAAGAGGCAAATTCATATAAAACTTATAAATATTTGCATTGCATTATATTATTCCACATAAAACATATAATCCAAAAAAAAAAAATCCACCCTTGTATGTCATATTTTGAATTTTTTATATTATGATAAAATTTATGCAAAAGATTAAAAATAATTATTCTCAACAAAATATTAGAAGACTAAAATGGAGGTTACATTCAATATGTCAATTTCCTCTCATATCTTATACTAGTTAGTCGTAACTTTTATATATGTGGTGCAGGTCTAGTTAAAATGAGAGGAATATTATACACACACACACATATCATACATCATTATGGAATGAAACAAATATATTCTTGCAATGCTCATGAAAAACATGATAATTTATTAAGTCTTCTCAAGCTATTTTAATGGTCTGAGGTAGGGCCGCTCAAAAACAAAGCTTTATTGAGGTAATGCACTTTAGTTGCTATGTTGAAGGTCCACAATATATAAAATACATAATTGGTTATTATGAGGAATGGAAGTGCATTGGAGATGATTCCTCCGCAAAAGAATAATTCCTAGTTTTCCTTGTTAGTTGAATGGGAATGCATCATGATGACATATATGGATCTAGAAATAGGAAAATAGCTAAATTTGAGGGCCAATTCATCTACTTTTGAATGCATGGAAGGTTGCCTTTCTTTAGCTCATAATGGAGGGATATAAAAACGAGTTGGAATGGTGGGTGGGTGGAGAAGAGAACAATTTATTGTGAAGGTGGGGTAGGGTATGTGTGCCCAATGCCTCCATCATTGGAATAATCTTCAACAATAGATGCTTCCTTTTGTTTTGGAATTGTAAACGAGGAATAGAAGGAATTTTTTGCGGTGAGAACATTGACTTGCCTTAGCGTCAAGCTAGGTAATTGTGCGTGGGAATTTCAAAAAAAAAAATTGGAACGTGAAGGAGATGTGCATGCAAGATTTATTCTTCTATTACTTCATAAGGATGACGAGAAAGAAACATTAAAATTGTGGGAAAATTGAAGGAGAGTTAGGTTTTGTAATTTTACTAGTCAAAGATTTTCATCCAACAATATTTAACATAAAGAAGTTGAGTCTCAAGCTCTTGAAAGAAAAAAATTATAAAAAATATAAGATAAATATTTTATTAAAAGTAAAAGATCATTATTCAATAATTACAAAATCATTATTTTATATCATAAAACAACCCTCAAACTTTTTATTTGTACTGATATGAATTTACTTTCTTATTTCAACAAAATATCTATCTATTTTGGAACTTTTATTACGTCCGGCGTAAGGACATAGAGGAACGTCCGGTCAAAGGCAATTTCCCGTCAAAGGTCTTGGGAATTACACATAAATAAATATATGTAAATTTTTATATTGTGAGAAATATTACTTCCCAAATAAGATCAAAAAATATAAATCTCAAATAAATTTTGACATTCAGTAAATGTTGCAATACACTTTTAATGTAGATAGATCATAGATGAGTGCATTTGATGTGATGATGTCCATTTCGCTTGGTAGTAAAGTGAGAGAGAGAGAGGTGATGGAGAAATGATTAAAGAAAGGAAAGTGGGTGTGGGGTTGTCGAGGGCCTAGCAGCCTACATCAAATCCCAAGAGGCCATGCGTTCACGTCCATTTTGTTGGGTGCTCTGTGGAATCCATTGCATGTTCTGAAGGGAACGTCTGACTGATCAGAGTGCTGACCACCTCATCATGTCATGCTTACATAATATATCTTATTCACTTAATAATAAATTTAATTTTTTCTTTCAGATCATTAATTTTAAATATTTTTTATAATAACTTTATAAAATAGCAAAAAAAAAAATCTAAATTTACATAAAATGCCAGATGAAGATGAATATTGTTCTATATAGTTGTGTATTAAGATGCTTGGCAATATCAGTTTACAAATCAAGTGAAAAACAACGTTGGTCACAGCAAAATTTAGCTTCAAATGGATTCTGAAATTGGGCATTAAAGGATTAATATGAACCAAACCAAAACGTTCAAATTGATTTCAGTTTACAATTCAGAACAACAAAATTTTAAATTTTGCTATTTGAATTGATTCATGTTGCAGAAATTATTTAATTTTACATGTATTAACAGTTCACGTAACTGAAATGCTACAAATTAGGAGTACATTTTGTATTTATATTTTCAGGTTCACTGGTATACCACAGCCCTCAACTTGAAAGGAAATTGCAAATAGGGGCACGAAAGTGGAACTTTTATTAGGTCCGGTGTTAAGAACGTAGAGTAACGTCCGGTCGGAGGCAAAATCCCGCCAAAAAACTCGGTATTTACTCGGTATTTCTAGGTATTATTTGATAATAACGAGGAATACCGTTCTGTGAAGACCAATACCGAGTTATACCGAGCTATACCAAGCAATACCAAGTTGTACCGAATTTTTTCTAAGAAAAACTCGGTACAACTTTTGTATAACTCGATATTGCTCAGTATAATTCGGTATTGGATCTTCACATGATGGTGTTCGCTCGGTATAACTCGGTATTGGGTCTTCACATGATGGTGTTCCTCGTTATTGTTTGGTATTGCTCGATATTTGCTCGGTATTTCTCGTTTTTTGGCGCGATTTGGCCTCCGACCGGACGTTCCTCTACGTCCGGTCGGATGACGTAATAATTCTTCCACGAAAGTGACCCAATTGTGTCAATCGAAGAACAGCTCAGTCAGAAAATTAAACAGATTAGTTTATACAGATTATTACCCGTCTTATGCGGGGTCTACAATCCATTGTTGCTTGCAAGAACTACAAGTTTTACCAGCAAGAAAACTTCATGATTTGGTCGCTCAACAATATAATTGCTTACATTGCAATTTACTCCTGCACCTGATATTACACAGAATGTGTCAAATAAAATAAAAAAGAAGAATCATTAATGATATTTTTTATCAGCTCTGCAGAATAGTAAAATTTGCAACCATACCTGAGACTTTATTTTGACGATTTTTTGAAAATTGCATTGGCCAGGTAGAGATAAGTTGCAGAAACCAGCAACTGATGCCCTTCGCCACGCTGGAAGATGTGAGGGACCATATATGGTTCGTGAGGGACAGCGAGGCGCCAGGGCCCAGCTCACCACCAACTGATCATGTTATGAAGTTGTACTACAGAAGAAGAGCTTGAGATTATATAATTCTTGATGTGTAATTAATCAATTGTTTTACTAATCATTAATTTTTTTTTTTTAACTTCAAACCCCGGCCCAACAAATTAATTGCAAATCTCATCATTCTCGCTGAACTGTGTAACTCTCACATGATTTATAGAGAGAACAGCCTGGGAAGTCCCACATTGGAGAGGCGAGTGTCTTTCAGATGTGTGAAGGAATGTACACTACCAGGCCTGTCATTCTTTTCGTGCTATACTTGCTCCCTAATGTACAAATTTCATATTTTAATGAGATGAAAGAACCCTTCGGTTTCCACAAACCTTTTTTTTTTTCCATTACTGTTTCAATAGATGCTAAGTAGCTTGATGCTTGAACCTTTTTATAGGTCACGTAACAATACACTAAGTTCATAGCAGTGGCAGCAAAACATTCCAAGACAATGGCTTAGCATGTTTAAAAAGGCTGGGCAGAATAATTAATAAGCTTGAGAAACTATACAGTAGGGATGCAAATGAATCGAATCGAGCCGAGTATATGAGTGTTCTTGTTTGAGTTCATTTACTATCAGCTTGTTCAAGTTTGGTTCATGTTTGATTCGAGCTTTATTGTTAGTGTTCATGTTTGGTTCGTTTAAATTAATTGATGTTCAAGTTTGATTCATGTTCGGTTCGTTTAGTGCTTATCGAGCTTTAAACAAACAAGCCTTAACAAGCTTTGTTCGTGAACATATTTGACGAATTTTTTTAAACTATCATACAAGCACATTCATAAACATATCTAATGAATATTCTTCAGTTAACAAATGAGCAAGTTCATGAATATATATAACTAGTGTTTCGAGCTACCAAATGAGCTCGTTCACGAATAAACAATCTATGATTCATCTAATATTGTTCATGAACAATTTATTCACAAATCAAGCTTTTACCGAGCTTAATGTATAGCTTGTTCATGAGCTTCAAATAATGTTGTTCGCGAACATAAATGAGTCAAACACACTAGTGTTCAAGCTTGTTTATTTAAGGATCGAGTATTTAAAATATTGTTCAAGTTTGTTCGTTTAGTTAATTAAACGATCACAAACGAGTTATAATCGAACCGAGCAATGAGTAGCTCATCGAACGCTTGGTTCGCTTGCAGCCCTACTATACAGTGATTTAGATTTTCAAATTGGAACCAAATGGTGATCCAGTATGCTCCATGAACATATATTAATATTTCCATTCATTGCAACCTTCCGTTCATTAGTACCAAAAAGAAAACATATCATAGAAAGGAAAATCTAAAACCTCTAAAGTCTATAAGAATACAGTGATTATGTGAAGGTTTATCCTGAAAAATTGCATATTGTATTCATTAACAAAAGCAAAGGTACATTTACAAGTGTAGAATATCGTAGCTTGCATTAGGCTTATTCATTCAAAGCAATTCAAGTCATTCCAGCAATGAATCTAAATAAGAAACTCCACAAATCCTCTACCTAAATCATACCAAAGATATGGCATCAAGAAATGAAAATATAGAAAGAGAAAAATGATTCTCGTGGAAGCAATTCTACAAGTGCATTTCAGCTGCATTAAAGATGGCTTATAATGATAAATACTGGCAAAATGTACTATACATGCAGATGACACCAGAGTTGTAAACATAGAGATCAAACAGTAGGTTTACTATAAAAAAATGTAATAGAGCTCAAACTGAATAATTGTTGCAAAAAAATGTGAAAGGTGAAGATAAGCTCGGATAGCTACAACCTGGCTAGCATAACAATAGAAGTATAGGAAGGAGATACGAAGATAGAGCTTTCTATAATATGCATACAATAATCTATCAAGAGAATCTGTGGTGAGCATAGAATTTCATTAGTTTTAAGTTGGTTTTTGGGGCCAACCCAATAATATTGGCTACGAATGATAAAGATACATATCTAACGTAATTTGCCAAGCATTTCAAATATCAGTAAAAGATTTTTAAAAACAAGAAAGGTTGCATTTAAATCTGCATATTTTAATAGTCATTAAAAAGGTAAATAATATTGAAGTCCCTCAAAGATTGGGCCACAGTTCACGTTGGTTCATGATTTAAAAAACTTCACAACTCACTTAAAAAAACTACTTTTGAGATTCACTATTATCCTCCCAATTTGATTTATGGTCTTCAAAGATGGATCATTTTTGCTAAGGGGTTAAATAATTTGTTAATTTAACTAATGCACCTTTTTACTTAAATTTGAATGAAATTAATTTTATAAACAAAATACTGTCATCCTAAAATAATTTTTCAAGGATTCGATCATTTTCAATAGAGGTACAAGTTCTCACTCCGCTAACATTATAGAAGAAAAACTAGCGTAGGAGATGTTGATACAATGAGAGAGATCCTATGATTCTTACTATCAATACTTGTAGTGCTAGGTCATTTTTCTGTAGGGTCAAGTTGCTTACTCCAGCAATGTAAAAGAATACAAAAAAAGGAAATGATAGTTGTATGCTATAGGAGAAATCTTTCATCCAACAACATTTGGTTTAGAAACATTAGTTCAGTAAAGCAGATCGCTAGAGATCATCGATTAAATAAAGGAAATTGACATAGATCATTGAAGAAAGCTGGTTTTGAGGAGTTCAGAGAAGTGTTTTTACATCAGAATAATAAAAAAAATGAAGAGAAATGTAAAAGGGTGTTAATTTTATTTTATAACAGAAAATGTAACCCAATTTGATAGAGACTAAATTCTGAGGGCTTTTAAAATATTAGACCCATCTTAAGTAAAAGAACATATGTAGATGAAGTTTTTAATCAATTTATATGCATATATAATACTTCATCAAAAGATTCTGCCATAAGCATAAAGCTTCAGTAATTTGCATTGCCTGTAGAGGACAATGAAAACTGGGAACTAAGAAAGGTGCACACAAGTTTATTTATACATTACTCAAAACTTCAAACTTTGCTTTTGTTGCATGTAATTAAATAATGTGATAGACCTTTGAAAAATTTCAAAAAATTTTAAGTTATTAAAATATGTATGATCTGTAGCATTATAAGTTGCCAAGTTTCAGGTAGTCTTTCAATAAAAATAAATATTGACACAATGTACCATAGAATACAGATGGTGAGGTTGTAAGCATGGTGATGAGGTGCATAACCAATTATTTTCACCAAGAAGGTAAGAAAATAATGTAACAGGGCTTCCAAATTCGGCTGGAAAGGTGATGCAAATAACTGATAAAGCCCCCTAAGGTTGTAGATAGCTAGAACCTGACATAAAATACAAATGAACAAAATATACATGAAAGATTTTCAGTCATTTGCATACGATATTCTACCAAAACATTCTGAGAAAAGGATTTAACTTATTAAATCAGAATTACGCTTCTTTGGAAAAATAAAAAAAATATCATTAAAGAATGTGCAGACAGAAGTTTGCCCTCCCTCCTCCCTCCCTCTCTCACAATACAGATGATAAAGTTGCAAGCTTGGTGATGAGGTGCTTAACCAATTGTTTTCATAAAAAAGGTAAGAAAATAATGCAACAGGGCTCCCAAATTCGATTGGAAAGGTGATGCAAATAACTGATAAATGCCCCCCCAAGGATGTAGATAGCTAGAACCTGACATAAAATACAAGTAAATGAACTAAATATCTATAAATAGCAAGAAACTGGCATAAAAATACAAGTAAATGAACAAAATATCTATGAATAAATTTTCAACTTTATCAATCTGAAATACGTTTCTTGGGAAAACTATAAAATATCATCAAGGAGGTTGCCTTACTTAGACTCAAGCTCAGCCTATATCTCTAGCGCAAGACATAGTTGAATGATACCAACAAATGAGCATGTCGTAGTCATCACTCTAACCATAAGGTTCTGGCATGATCTCATGCACAAGTTCGAGCATTGACACGTCTCGCATTTAAAATTATCTCAAAATTGGTGCCTCCATTCTGAAATGCAAACAAGTTAGTAATTGAAAGTTGTGTTTATTCTCCGAAGTCCTGATTTGGAATATATGTAAAAATGCGAAAATCAAATGGGATAACTGAAAAAGCCTATCACAGTAATTTTGAATGTCATACGAATGATAAGAGGACATGTAATCATTCCCGTAACTATATTATTTGTAATTTTAATGATATTTAATATAAAAAGCATAAGATTCATCAACATGATGTTTTAAATAGTGGGGATCATGAGTATTAATAAATTTTTATAAAATTATAAAGAGATAAGGATCATAACGATCCTCTGACTTTTTATAAAGGACTAAAATGGTTCCTAATTATTTAAAAGTTTCATTTTAGTCCCTATAATTTTTAAATTGGGACCAAAATGATCGATTGGAAAGACTAATTTGGTCATCTAAAGAGTCAAAAGATCAAATTGGTATTTTTATTATTTTTGACAACATTCAACTTTTTTATAATCAAAAGACCCATTAATAACCTATTAATGATCCATAAAAAATTTTCATGCATACATGAAAATCTGTATGGGAGCATCGTGACACTGTGCTTGCAATCACAACGATGTTGGCCTCTCTATGTAGATGATTCTGCTTCTGCATGTGCAACAGTGTTGGACTGGGCATTGTGGCGCTACAGTCTAGAGCGCTGTGGCGTTGGGTATGTGCTTTTTATTTTATTTTTTTTTAAATAACCTAATCCATTACCCTAAGTCATACCTACCCCATCCCCCATTTTGTTCTTTAGCCGAGAAGGAGAAAGAGAGAAGAGAGAGAAGTGCAAGAGGATAGGAGAGAGAGGAGAGAAGTGCAAGAAGAGAGGAGAGAAAGGAGAGACAAAGTAGCCCAAGAGCCATTTCCTTATGTCCTTCACTTGCAGTTACTTTGATCATAGTAAGTACCCTAAATCTTATTGATGTTTCTGATGATTTCGATTTTTATTTTTCCCTCCCTCCTAAATCTGGTCAAAATGCATTCTCTCTCGATTTAATGAACTTTCGCTGCATAACTTTCAGTATATGGTAGATGTGATCATGGTTTAAAATTGCGCAAAATGAGGCTCGCCTTGAGGCCCGCCTTTGCGCAATTCCAGTAAAAAACGCCTCGATGCTTACGCCTCAAGTTTTTTTTATGAGGCTTGCGCCTCAACTTTGTTGAGGCCCGCCTCGCCTCATTGGACTGAGGCTTACGCCTCACGCTATATATATTAAAACTTACGTAAATCTTGAAGTAAATGCCCGACATTGGACTCTATAGGAGAGGATGAAGGGGAGAGAGCAGTTCATCATAATGATGATTCAAATGAAGAATCCCTTAGTGATGACAGTGCCGATGACTTATGAGTTCTTATGTGATATATCATTGCTAATTATTTTTGGAAATTGGAACTATATGTTAATGAAAAGAATACTAGGATTTGGGAAAGATAGAATTTTGAGTTGAACTATATTTCATGTTATCTTATTATTGAGATATTTTGATTTCATTTAATATCTTATGTTTTTTTATGTTTTATATTATTCACTCATTAGTATATAAAAAATTTATCATTTTATGTTTACGCAATCTTTTGATTTTGAGGCTTACGCCTCAAAACGCCTTGAGGCTTACGCCTCGCCTCATGAATGAAAAACGCCTCAATACCCGAATACGCAATTTTAAACATTGGAGCAAAATACCCAAGAAGGATTGGGCGATGAACTTTCCTTAAAGTTATAAATTTATAGTGTAATCCCATTACATGATACAAGATACAAGATAGAAAATTATAACTAGACAAGATATGTCTACGGGAACAATATAGCCAGCCACTTGACACACTAACATGTTGCATGGCATGATAAGATATGATATGATACAAAAGAATATTATACGATTAACCGGATGTCCTAACTTACATTAATATGAATATACATAATGACTAAAGATAATATGAACATGCATAAGATATATGAGATATGAGCTATATAATACATGAATATGATGCATGATGATACCGATACTGATACAAATGTTATACACTTGAAACATGAGATTGATACATATTGTATAAATAGCAAATAATATGATAGAATATATAAATGATAATTATAATATCGACAAGCATTGCATTACATTACATGATTTCTATGATAGCCTTAATGTAGCATTATTCTAGATATCTTAGGATAAAACTAAATCAATAACTACTGATCACTTTCATAATTATGATTCATACTGATTGACACTAATCATATTAATCACTATTGCTTATGTTGATGTGTTCTTATATATATGAATCCATGATAATCATGTTCTACTATTGATTTGAATGATTACATGCAAATTATTCTACTTTCCGTGCATTGGGTGCAGAGGTTGGTTCAAGTGACCAACTCAACATTTGCTCATTACGTGATTTTTCATGATTTCATAAAGAGGTAAAGACCCGGTGAAGTTAGGTTGATTAGATTCTTTTGATAGCTATTATTTTATATTTTTTTGTTTATTTTGTAGTCATAAAAGTGTATTAATATGGAATGAATTGAAAATTATATTTGACTATTGTGAATGATTTTTGAAAGATCAAACATACATACTTCAAGAATATGAAAATGAAAGATTTCTTCTACTTCATATATTATTTTTTTATGAATGATAATTAGTGTCTCTAGCAGATTATTAGAAGATTTAAAATAGGCAAATCTTCCAAATTAGATTATAGAGTGTAACAAAATTTTTGAATAGCATAGTAATGGTTAGTGGAGGAATGCATCGGGCTTGCTATGTGATAGAAAAGTACACCTCCAATTTAAGGAAAATTCTATAAGATGGTGGTAGGACCTACAATGTTTTATGGCATGAAATATTGATCATTAAAAAAGAAGCATAAAAAGTTTAGTATTGCAGATATGAGGATGCTCAGGTAGATGAGTACTTTACTCTTAGAGATAGAATGTGAAACGAGTACATACATGAAAAGGTTGGAGTAGCTCCAATGGAAGAAAAGATTAGAGAGAGTCGCCTTAGATGGTTTGGTCACATAAAATGTCGGCCTTCCGATGACCCGGTTAGGAGAGTAGATGTATTAAATATGACCTATGTTAAGAAAGGTAGAGGTAGACCTAAAAAGACTTAGTTAGAAAGTATTAGAAATGATATTTGTTTATTAGATTTGAATGAGAATTTAACTCTTAACAGACACCATGGAGAAAAAGCATCCATGTTGCCAACCCCACAGTGGGGATAAAGGCTTGATGTTGTTGTAGAGTAATGGTTAGTGGAAGGATAGAATTGTAATTAAAGCCTGAGGAATTGATTATAAAAGGGGTAAAAAATGAGTAGTTTTAAGAAACAATTTCTATGAATTCATGATATGCATATGTGTGATAATATTGCAACCTCTTAGGAGAAAGACCTACACAAGTGCCCAATGAATCCACATGATCAGGATGTGTTGAATGAGCAGAGTGCAGCGGTCGCTCAAATAAATTCTGATAGCATGATATAATTTATTAGTTTGATAGCTCAATTGATGAGTGATGCCCATAATAAGCAAGTTGAGAATAAAGAAAATGAGGACACTCTTATATCACGTGGGAAGAGTTCGTCAATACATTCAGAGATTAGTTCGTGCCTCTGCAGCACAACAGTAGATACAGGAGGCTTTCATAAGATTTGAGCAAGAGAATAAAATGTTTATGTAGTACGAAGTGGAGTTCGCAACATTGGTCAGGTATGCTTCTAAATTAATCAGTATACCAGAAGTAGTGTGCTAAAGATTTCTGGCCTTAGAGATGAGTTAAAACACCATCTAGTGCTTCTAAGAATTAGGAAATTTTTATAGTTGGTAAAAAAGAAAGATTGGTGGAAAATGACTTCACAATTCCTCAGTTCAAACAAGACATGACTCGGAAGAGAGCAAGTAAAAACAAGAGCAAGGGAAGTGCTAGTAAGAAGAAGAGCAGGTCTAATCATTTCAGGACAAGATCTATGGTATCTGTCAATAGCAACCCAAAATGCATTCATTATGGAAGGACACGTCCAGGTCAATGTTAATTGTTGACAGGTCAATATTTCAAATGTGGAACACATGGATATAAGCTCAGAAAGGATTGGGAGGAAGACTAGTGTCTCAAGCAGAGCAGTAGAGACAAGCCTACAAACATAGGATTGCAGGATCCAAGATGTCTATTGAAAGTTCTGTGAATAGTGGTGTGAAAGAAGTATAAGTAAAAATCAACCTACAATAGTGACAACTATTTATCCAAGAGTATATTGTCTGCAGTTACAAGGGCAGCAGCAAAAAATCAG